AGAAGAATTTATTAATACTCCTATATTAGGTAACTGAATAAATAAATAAATAAATAAATAAATAAATAAATTAATTAATTAATTAATTAATTAATTAATTAATTAATTATATTGTTTAGTAGTATATATATATAGATATTTAATTAGCTTTATAATGATGTATAATATGAGGCAAAAAAGGTATTAGGTAACTGAATAAATAAATAAATAAATAAATAAATAAATATATATATAAATATATAAATAAATAAATATATAAATATATTTATATTGTTTATATATTATATAGGTATTTAATTAGCTATATATTGATGTATAATAAGATGTATTTATTATTTAGTGTATAAATTAATTAATTTAATTAATAAAATATATAAATAATAATTAATTATTTATACAATAAATAATAAATAAATAATTAATAATTAATAATTAATAATTAATAATACAATTTAATTAATATTAATTAAATATATAATAAATTAAATTAATTTTGCTGCTGCTGCTGCTGCTGCTGCTGCTGCTGCAGCAGCAACAGCAAAAAAGAAAATACAATTAAATTGATTACCTGCAAATCGGGGTGTCTGTACAGCTCAATATCATGAATAGTAACACGGGTAGGAGGCGGCCGTTCTATTGCTGTTGCTGCTGCTGCAGCAGCAGCAGGAGAAGCAGCAGCTTTCCTTGCCAGCTTATACAGAGGAACTCCATGCATGCGACGAGCTGAGCAGCAGCAGCAGCAGCAGCAGCAGCAGCAGCAGCAAAATCAGCAGCAGCTGCAGCAGCAGATAATGATGATATCATATAGCAACAAAGCACCAGCAGCAGAGCAGCAGCAGCAGCAGCTAGAGGTGCAGCAGCCCCACAACCACCACCACCACCACCACCACCACAGCAGCAGCAGCAGCAGCAGCAGCAGCAGTAGCAGCAGCAGCAGAAATAGATACCTGAGAACAGAGGAGTTTCTTGTAGATAAGAAATTCCTTTATAAGAAGAAATTGTCTCCTCTAGTGTCTCCTTTGTTATATGTTGCCAACTTGCTTCTTTTATTACTTTTCCCTACAAATATTTATATACATTATTTATTTATTAGGGTTTAGGGTTTAGGGTTTAGGGTTTGTTGGGGAAGAGGGTTTATAGATATTGTGTTGGGATCGTGTTGGGATCGTGCTGGGATCGAGTGGGATCGTGCTGGGATCGACTGGGATCGTGTTGGGATCGTGTTGGGATCGTGTGTACCTCTGTATCAAGAGTATCTGTCTCCGCACCAAGACGAATTATTGTAAAATATTCTTTTCTCCCTACAAATAAAAAAAAAAGAAAAAAAAGAAAAAAAAAGACGATCCCCATCGATCCCAGGGAGACGATCCCATCGATCCCAGGGAGACGATCCCATCGATCCTAGGGGGACGATCCCATCGATCCTGCAGAAAGAGATGCTTTGCTGCTGTTGCTGCTGCTGTCTTTTGCTGCTGCTGTTGGTCGTACACGTGAGTGCTTCTCTACTCTACTGCTCGGTCTACTGCTGTTGCTGCTGCTGCTGCAGCAGCAGCAGCAGCAGCAGCAGCAGCAGCAGCAGCAAGTTTGTGGGGTTGCTGACCTTGTAGTAATGTATTAAGTACTTTAGTACCTTTCCCTATACCCAATACTAAGACGCCTGCATCAGGTGTACGTACACCCCAATAAGAAGAAAGAAAATAAAAAAGAAAATAAGAGCAACAGCAGCAGCAAGAGCAGCAGCAGCAGCAGCAGCAGCAGCAGCAGCAACAGCAGCAAGAGCAGCAGCAGCATACCTGAGGCAGCAGGATCTAAGGTACCTCCATGCCCAACACGAATTCTAGGAAGATCAACAGGGGAACCTTTTGCTGCTGCAGTTGCTGCTGCTGCTGCTGCTGGATCTTCTGCTGCAGTTAGATCTGCTGCTGCACCTGGATCTGCAGCAGCAGCAGCAGCAGCAGCAGATCCATCTGCTGCTGATTGAATAGCAGATCTAATTAGATGTTTAATTACTCTGCATGCATCTGTTGATGTAATACCTGTTGGCTTTATTATAGGTAATAAACCATCTATACACCCTAAATATAAATTTATTTTTTTTTCTTCTTTTTCTTCTTCTTCTCTTGTTTTTCTTCTTCTTATTTCCCTTCTTTTCTTCTCTTCTTCTCTTAGATAGGATACAAGATCCAATAATTCCTTAGAAGCAGCATAATCCTGCATAAATACCTCTGGGGGCCCCCATGAGGGCCCCCCTGGGGGCCCCTCTGGGGCCCCCCCCGGGGGCCTCTCTGTCGTGTGCGTTGCAGCTTTAATAGACCTCACATGAGTCAATATGTGGAGAGAAGATGAAGGAGAGGAGGAGGAAAGAGGAGGAGGGGAAGAAACAGGGAAGGAGTGACGGTTGGCTGCCGACAGGGGGAGTGTATAAGAAGAAAAAGGGGTATTTAATAATATATTAAAAGAATAACAGCTGTATATACAGCTGTAAATTGTAAATAATAAT